TTTATTACCATAAAAGTATTATTACCATCTCAAAACATTATTTCTGTTTTCTCCCAAGACTTTGTTCCCGAGAATCCTTTAGTTTACATGAATTCTAATATAACTAATAAAATTTCTAAATATCAGCCTGAACCGTTAACAGAAAATAATTTCATTCAAGATTTGAATCAATTAGCAGATGACTCAATAGATCTCAATAATCTTGAATCCACAATAGCAGAGTCTTCCGATCATTTCATCTTAAATACTCATATCCCATTTCTTTACTGTCTCTTTCTAATAATAGTAATTCTAACTTCATATGCATTGTGTAAATATAAAAATACCACCCGACAATATAAACCAGATATCGCACAATGTACAAATTGCAATGAAAGTATGGTCTGAAGTCTTGTTAATTTAATTATTTTATTGTAATTTAAGAGTATTATATGTAAGTAGTATTTCAAACACTACTTCCATTTAAGGGAGGGAGTGTTATGAATACTTAACTTAGTTTTAATATTGTCCCACAATTGTAATAACAGATAATCATAAATTGAATTGTAATTGAGGTCGGCCTAAAAGAATGTGTCTATAAAGTATTTTTCGGTGTTGCAAAACCGGGAAGTGGGCCGACTGCGACGATTGTAATGCAGAGCATCGTCAGTCATTTGACAATTATTGTATGAATACTATCACTTTTATTTTTAATAAACTAATTAATTATTCGGCAATACTATTTTATTTTATTCTATTTGTTACTCTCGTAACATTGATAACATAATTTTTGTCACGTTAATACTATTATAACAACAATATAAATAAATGTAATACCTATAAATTTAATTAAGAATATGTAAATAAATTTAAACATTATCCATATACACTTTTATCATTAAATTATAGTAGTAAGTAATGAATTATATTTTATATTATAATTTAGCACTGTATTTTCATTATTTAATTTAATATTAATTAAAATAAATTAAATAATTTAATTTCAAATTATTTAAATAGTACATAAAAATTAAAAAAACTACAATAGATGCAATAATCACACTATTTCTTCATAATATCCAATCAAAAACTTAAATTAGTTTTTTCATTTATCATAGGGTATTATACTTTTCGTAACAATACAATAAGAAAATTAATAATGAATCAAATTAATTTTAATTGAAAATAGAAATGTTATGCATAATTTTTTATTTTATTCCATGATAAACTTAATATTAAATTAGTTGAAAGACTCTCAAATAAGTTTATTTCATCCGCGTGTACTTGTAACACACATTGTTTTTTTTTTATTGTTCATACCCATAACAACATAGCGGTTCGGTTTAACATAGATTTATAAAACATAGACTTCGGTCCGATAACAACTTTTGAATTAGCATTTTAAAAGTATTTAACACTTTATAGTTTCAACTGGAGATTAAATATGGATAAACTTAATAAACATTTCTTGGCCTCATTTTTCTTCTCACCTATTTATAAAAATGTTCATTTCTGAAATACGGGTCCAAAACTCATTATCGACCCGTAATTTTTTTAATTAAAACATTATCTGTTAAATAAGCTAGTTATTATGTATGTTGCCAATAAAAAGAAAACCCACCACGTAGGGGCGTGGCATAATTGGGTCAAGTATAATGTTATCTGTCAGTGATTAAAATTACTATCATAAAAAACGCTTCGATGCAAATTTGTAGATAGTGTTTAATTTAAAAAAATTGGTGGATTTTTCCAAGAGCTACATGATCTCCTATTTCCTGATTACAAGTTTAATGATTTATAAGTGTAATATATGAATAAATAAATAAATATTTATAATATATAAATGTATAAAAGGTCCGATTTAAAAAAAAAAGGTTGTCGCATAAAAGAAGAATAAGTTGAAAAAGTTCTACTTTCTATATGCATTTTTATGTTTTGAACCCCCCCTGTTTTAAGGGAAATGGTCCGATTAAAAAAAAAATATGTCAAATTAAAGAGGTATATAAATAGTATTTATCTTAAAAAAATTATAATGATCCATACATTTTTCAAAAAGTTATAGCGTTACAAAGTTAAAAATATAAAAAAGAATTTTTTTACAAAAATCGTATTTTTTTTATTAACTTTGATGTCTGCTTTCACAATGAAGACAAAATAAAGTCCGAATTTTTTTTTCCTTAATAAAATACATTATATTAGCTTTAATTTAAGACATATTCTTATATTCTTCTCAGATTCGCATCGAAGCTAAAATAAAGTTGACATCTCTATAAGTTATAACGGATGATGATGCTAAAAATTAATTATTGTATGATAAATTAAGAATGCATTTGCAACTAAATTAAAATAAGATTTGCTTTTCAATATTAAATTTGTTTTGCAAGTAATGTAGTGGTTTTTAATAATGTCATAACAGATCATAGTTTATAATATATTATAGGAAATATTTAAATTATTTATTAATGAACAGTGCTTTTAATTTTAGGCTAGTTTGTACCCTGATGGTATAGATATTTTTTCTAGTGTTGGATGGAATTTCAAAAGTGATATAAAGAGAAATAAAAAACTCCTAAATAATTGCATTGAAGAAATGGAGAAATTATATAATAAGAAATCGCCTTTTTTCAATGAAATTGATAAAAATAAGCTTTTAGCTGAAGCTTATTGGAATAAAAAACAATATAAAAAAGCAATAAATTTACTCGAAAAAACAATATTTACTCTACCCGTTATAAATGCAGAGGTAATGCATTCAAATGATTTATAACTTAAGTTACTGAGCTCATTAGCTATAAATATAATATATGTAGAAAAAAGTAGATCTTTTTCAATTGTTTTTTGGATTAACTAAAAAATTAAAATTAAGATATCATCAAGTGATCTATTTAAAATTTTAAAATCTTTTAAATTAGATGTTTTATTTAGCTTATTTCTTTTTTTTATTACAGGACAGATGGTATAATTTTTCAGCTCAGGAACTTCTTGGGTACTATCAAGAGAAAGTATTTACAAAAATGAATATCTATCCGAAATACCCGTCAAAAACATTTAAGTATATTATGAATTAGTAACTAATTTAATAGTACCAATTAATATTCTTATAAAGTTTAATAAACAAAGTTTTAATATAAATATTGCGTATTATTATTACTAAAAAAGCTTGCTCTAAAATAATATTCTAAAAATAATATTTTGATAAAAATATTGGTAACTGTGATTTGAAGTTGGATAAAGTAGTTGTTATAGATGGATTCCAATCTAAACGATAAACTCATAGACATATACATCATATCTAAGAAAAATAAGATTATCAATAATGTACTGTTTTGATGAAGAATGTACAAACTTATATAATTATAATCGTCTTGAAATTTATATATAACGTATAATATTTCTTGATAATATATATATATATATATATATCAAATATAGTACTATGCGTAAATGCAAAATAGTGTCCTAATAAAAATACATATTACCCAAATTAAGATTCAGAATAAACGTATGCACAGGAATTTTTTTATCATATCTCAGGAATGTCATTAGGCGGGTCTGGTGAAAATTTTAATCCTTAAGTCGTAAAACGCTGGCGTCAGCGATAAATAAATAAAATACACACAAACGTTTATGAAAAAATAGTAGTTCAATCTTGGGGTTGAATAATATTGAATAAATGATGTTAAGATTGCTTACAAAATTTTATAATTTATCTTAATGGTTTATTACGCAATAGATTGTTTGTGGTTTAAAAACATAAATAAAACTTGTATTCTATGTAACGTAACGATATTTTAAACATTCCATCGTTGATTTTGGATTTCACACTGCGCGTTGTATAGTCAATATAACTGTTTAGAAAAACGATTTAATTTTGAATAATACGAGGTCATTACAGAAAATGTATGACTAGTTTTTATATGTAAAAGATTTTAAACACTCTATTAATTATATTTTCTATATTATCTATATTTTATTATAAATATAACTTTAATTTTGTACTCTTATTTCATTTTTGTTGAATAAGTATCCTTTTAAGAGAGTATATTTTATTGAGAGATCGACAACAATATTTTTTAAAGCTTCCTCAGCCCTAGCCAAAACAAGATTCAAAGATATTTATATCTATGTAAAAATGTTGTTAAGGATTGTGATGGAACAATATATCCCGGCGCTAACACCTTGGAGGATGTGGCACAATAATAACCAAGACAGGTTAGGATCCTTCAAACGACGAGCGTAGATAGATAGAAATTATAGTAGACCGCGATTAGTTCAAGGTTGTTTAGCCTAACACTGGTAAATCGAGGAATCCAGGAGCCCATGTTGGATTGCATTGTCTGATTTATTAGTGACGGACTCAACTTGGGTTCAGCTTTGATAGTCACAGTGCTTTTTTTGTTCTTTTCTGCACACATAACCTTGAACAGGTCGAGGGTCGCACACTGTTCACATTCAAAGTCACAAGCTGATTTGTGGTCCTAGGCAGTGCTTTGGTGTGCAGCATAAACTACGGCTAAAGATAGTAGTGGTAGCGGATTTCTGCAAAACTCTCAAGGGAAGGTCTCCGTTATATTAGTAGTAAGGAACTCTCTTCAAATATTATCTTTACATATAATCTTCCTCAGTATTATGACAAGTAAAGAGCTTACTATGGAGTTTCCGGAAATGGTGTAGTTGGTCCGAAGATTCTGCACCTTTGTCTCCAGCGGCCAAGGAGCTAATCCGCCTCGCATGGCAAGTAGTGTTTATGAATTGTTTAAGGTAAAAATCCTTGGAGCAATGCGTAAAAAACGCCACTCAATGTACATTATTACACAATACAGTATATAATCCTTATGACTAATTATAAATTGAAATATAAAGAATAACTCAATTTTTACGTTATTGTGCTTTATTGTTTAAGCCCTAAAACCATAGTACCTTATAGGAGTAAAAAATCAAATATCTCCTATGTATAGTAACTTTTATCGAAAGAGAAAGATATTAACAATACTTATTCCACATAGAGAATAGATATTTAAGATGTTTGTGATGGTTGTTTTGAGTTACCTTTTTAAAAAAGATATTTCTGTTTAAATTACCATATTAAAATTTTACTTGGAAAAAATTTAATAATTTTTTCATAGTTTTTTTTTGTTTGAAAATCTTTTTATAAAATAATTAATTTTATACTGGAACCATTAGTAAAAACCACTTGTTGAGTACCACTTTGTCGTAAATCAAAAATCAAACGGTATTATTAATAAAAGTTAATATTAACTTTTTAATTTAATTAAAATTAATTAATTTTAAAATATTAAGATTGTATGATAATTTGAACGGCATTCGACAAAAAGAATATAGGGATTTAAAAATAGATATTGAAGAATAATATTAAATTAAGCATTAAATTAAATGTGAATATTGATACTAAAAATTTTAATTTTGGTTTGAGTGAAATTAAAAGGATAAAAATTAAGTAATAAATGTGTATTTTGAAAAAAAAAAATGAATAATTAGTTAATAGTAAATAAAATATATATACTTAAATAATAATGATTCTTTTGTGTAATGAAATGTATTTATTGAAAATTTTGAAAAAAGTTGTATCCAAATATTACTTTAATTTCTATCACAAATTGCATTCAGTTGAATAAATTACCTTTAAAATTTAAAAAAATTTTGCTGTCCCTCAAAAATAAAAGAAATTCTCTTCAAAGACTCATTATTTTTGTATTGTTTTATTTTTCTATTTAAGAAGAGGATTCAAAAAAACAATATTTGCATAAATTTTTTGAATTTCAATTACGGAAATTTCTTAAAATTCTATTAATCTTTTAATATAGATAATTAATATAGAATAAATATAAAAATCTATTATATTATATTATATAATGTTATTTTATTATATTGAATTCTAAATAAAAGGTTATATAAATTAATTTAACAAAAATAATAAACCATTGAACTATTCAAATATTATGATTAAACATAAATGCAAAGAAAAAAATCATGATTTTGAATTTCAAGAATGTTACATGATTTGTTAACTAAAATCGTTCTATACAAAGTATAAAAGAGTTTAAAGTTTTCTAGAAATAAGTATTTATTTTATAAGCCTTTATAAGAAAATGGTTTGATGATTGATTTCAAATTAAAAAAAAATCGAGGAAAAAATAAATCCATTTTTATCTACTCTTACAAATGAAAAATTGGACTAATAATACTTTTAATAATTCTCCATTTATAATAATCATATAATGATATATTTTAGTATTTTGCAATCAAGTATATTAAACAATAAAACACATAAAAAGTGTCTCAGATGTAACTGACAATTTCTATAAATTTGAATACATTTATAATTTTGTTGACGTCTTTCTTTACATTTCCTCTTAGACAACGATAATGTTCAAATTAGCTTCGATGCGAAGCTGAGAAGGTATTGGTTTTACTAAAATGTGTTTATTTTTCTTTTTTTTTTTTTTTTTTTTTTTTTTTT